AAAGAGAGATTTTCATGTACCTTGCAAAGGCAGGTCTCTCTGTCTGCAATGGATGGATGGACCACCTAGAAGGGCCACATACAGCAGAACAAAGAATATGAGATGTTGCAGTTAGGGCTCTCAGGAAGGAATTTCCTATGCAAGTTTCTCATAGTGATGTTCACTACCCTGCTGATATTAGCACACTACTTAAGTTAGTACATAGTGTGCATAGTGTACTCATGTAAGTATTCCAATTGAAACAGCATGTGTTGTTGCTGAGCTAGCGGCTGTGTTGTAGTTAAGCTAACGCAGTGGTTCTCAATTATTTTCTGTCATGCCCCCCCTAGGGGACAGACATTTTTTCAAGCCCCCCCTGAATTTTAATACTATTGAGAAACTGATAATATTTATTTATTTATCTGTACAAACCACTGTATGAGTTGCTGGCACCAGCATTCTGCATACAATCACCTGATTATCAAAATAAATTAATAAAATGAGCTGAGATAACATCTGCAACAACTAAAAACAATTTCCAAGTTCAGTTTATTAACTCGATGTGTAACGTTTAAACAAGACTGCTCAGTCTGTGTGATTCTCAAAACAGACTCTCAAACAAAAAAAGTGCAAATGATTCACTGGGATGTGCATTTTTATAAATTATTATTGAGGAGTGCACGGGGCTCTGCGGCCCAACGGTACCAGCAAAGGTATCATCAGATCACTAACAGACTGTTACGCATAGGTTACGCAGAGCCTTGACATCATATCCGGGGGATAATGTAAGTAAATTCGAGTTAAAACACAGACTTCGATTATTCTGTGTGAATGCGCCGCACGAAACACAGATGTGGTGGGGTAATTACTAAATCACGAGGTCCCCAGGTAATACTAGTCCCGTGCGAATAGGATGACTGGGATTAAGTCCGAACCACTGCGGCAAAATAGAAAAACACCACCGTAAGTAGGTTTTGCAAAATATTTGCATAAACTGCTGTGAATTATGCATCTTGATCAGTATACATTTAGAAATCCTCTAATTAGGTGGCATTAACACTGTTTTTTAAAATATTTGTCATGGCGTAAAGTCGCCACAAACAAGGTCCAGGGTGATTTAAAACAGTAGAGAGTGTGTTGAGCAAAACAAAATGTTTTCATAATAAACTAAATAAATTTGGTAATGTCAATTTTATAAATAGATGACTTTTAAATCGTATTTCGTCAACTATAAATAGATTACTTATCAAACATATTTCGGTCAACTATAAATAGATGACTTTTCAAAATCTTTCTTGTTACCTGGTCAACTACAGATTGATGTTTAATCAATTGTTATCAGGACAACTATAAATCAATGTGTCAATCTCATATATGGTTGTGTTTCATCAGTATTGCAATAGTGATTCAACATTAATTTAGCATTGAGATTTCAATGTCAACCATTCCGATGATTCAGATGGAAAATCAATATTTATTCAATGTGGTCTTGCTATCTGGGAACAAATTATTAAATATAATATATAATATATATAATATTTAAAAAAAAAAGATAAAACTGTAAACGTGTGAGTGTGTGTGTGTGTGTATGTATGTATATATATATATATATATATATATATATATATATATATATATATATATATATACATCAAAACAACAAAAAACAACAACTAAAACATCTATTATTTTATACATTTATCTAAGTTTCCACTGGTTGTCCTCAGTTCGTGGCCTGAGGAGACATATTTGGCTGCAATAATTTGACTTTTTGGCAGTAAATAGGGGAGTTTATGTGTGTCTGATACAAATTTGAATTCGGGGGAATGTTTGGGAAGTGTTTTGTCTCAAGATTTTATATTTAGGGCATGAGGTTAGAAAGTGCAGTTCTGTCTCTACCTGTCCTCTGTCACACTGGGAGCAGTCTCTCTCCTCTTCTGGTAGCCAGTTCTGTCTGTGGCAACCCTTTTCTATGGCCAGGCTGTGTTCACTCAGTCTGTACATTGTCAACATTTCCTTAATTTAGGACATTTTATTGTGCTCAGGTAATTTGCCAGTTTGAATTCTCTCTTTAGGGTCAGATAACATTGTAATTTACTTTTGGTCATTTCTTTCCAGTATTCAGTATATTTTTCTTTTTGCTTGTTGATAATTTGGTTTGGTCTGATTGAGTTACTCACATGCACACACCCATAATATATAAATTATTACATGATGACATCATGATAAAAAATATGCTTTATTTATTTTAGCTTATAAACAAGAAAATACATCTGAATTGCTTACCTTATTTTTGCATTAAATCTTCATGTGTACTGTGATACTTCACAAATTAAAAAAACAATCCTGCGCTTGCTCTGTTCCTTTGTTCTACTTTCCCGCGTCAGTAACTTTTTCAATTTCAATAAAAACAAATTGGCCTCCGCCCACCTCGACCACAGACTGTATGTATATTGTAACACAATATCCAACGTTTTCATTAGCTAGACTAATCAGTGTAAACCTAGCTACGATATGTACCCTAATGAGAGCTTATTTTAAGCTGTTAAGTGAAATAGAAACTTTAAAAATTGGCTGGATCGTCGCCCAAGCGCAATCTAAGCGTTCCTGCGGCTTTCTCTCATTAAAGTAACTTTCATATAATAATTAGACATGTAAATGTTGATGTACATGTATGAAAAACCACATATAGACTCAGTAAAATGTAGAAATTCCTTGGACTTACGTTAGATGGCGATCGTGTGCCAGGAAGTACCGCGAAAAGACTGGAAAGTGCGTCAAGCCGTAAGTCGATCGGGTCCCGACTCCGGCACTAAACACCGTTCGGGTCCTACCGCCGGTAGGTTATGTAAGTTGAATAAATATTGTTAGAGATGTATATTCAGATAGCTAGCTCTCCAAATGCTTGCAGTTTGTATGGTAATTTAAACACTCGAAAATACTGATCAAATGATCGGGACAAGCTAACTCAGAGCTAGCTAGTTTGCTAATGCAATCTCTTTACGGTCAATTTCAGGAACCTTTTCTGTTTCTTGATCTTCCCTCTCATTATAGTTTGAGATTTCCCAGCAGTTGGGCAACTACTTTCATCCCTTGTCAAGAAGGGCACAACTTTGTTGTACAGTTTGTAGCATAGGGATCTGTACTTCACTTTGTGAAAGAGGACTCACTGTGCTTTTGTTGTTTTCAAGTAATTGCTAGGGTCTCCTGAATTATTTTCTTGAAGTTATATTTTTTCAAGATCTTTCCTGACAGTGCAGCTGCAATTACCTGCCTAGTTTTTGTGTTTGCTCAAAGTGTACTTTGCGCGTGTGTCGTCCACCAGAGCATAGTGGAAAACTAACGTTTTGTGCACTTCTCTAGGCACGTGCACCCTCCCTGACAGGCGCCGGGTTTTTGATAGCTGTTGTCTTGCAAGTCTTTTTCCTAATTTTTCGGTTTTTCCTTCAGAGCGATCCCTATATAAATTGGACTCCTTCCTCTTGACTTTCTTCCTTCCAGCACTACACTGTCTGAAATTAAACACATACATACAAAATTATACACACTTTGTTGATCATGTGTTCATCATTTATGCTAAATGAACAGAATAAGGATGACAAGACTGCTGCTTTCACCATCATTGCGTAATCAAATCTATTGTCTAAACCATTTTTTGTTCAGTAAATTTCTACCTTGACATCCAAGGCTCATCGTCAGGACTCTGGGGTGGAGTAACCTGGTTCTCTATCACTTTCTTTCTTTTTCTGGCCTGGCGTTGGACTCTTCTTCAATTCTTTCTTTTTCTTCTCTTCTCCCTCTCACTCAAGGCTTGAACTGTCTTCACCTTCCCTTGCTGTCTGTCCTCATGCCACTTTTCTCGTTGTTTCTTTAAATATGCAGCCCTTTTCTCAGGATCAGCCCTGTACTGGCTCTGCTTCTCAGCAGCAGATAACCTCATCTCTCTAGACCAGAAATAACTCTGTTTAGTAATAGTGTATAGCATAATTGATAAGGCAAATTTTTTTCTGCCTATTCTTTTCCTATTGTTTTGCGTCCAAGTCACGTGACTTTCAAGATTCCGGCCGTGAGAACAAAAAACATGGCGGACATTTCTCAAATTTTTAGTGAAAAAAATCAATATTTTTAGTTAGTTTCTGCATAAAAATGCGTTTTGATTACATTTCTAGCGAGAAATATATTTTTTATTTTCATAATATTCACTCAGTCAATGTACATAATCACTTGCTTACGGAGCCCCTAAAGGGACATGAAAAAAAAAAAAAATGAAACGTTTCTAGTGAGCACTAGATAGTATCTAGTGCGCACTAGATAGTATCTAGTGCGCACTAGATAGTATCTAGTGCGCACTAGATAGTATCTTGTGCTCACTAGATACGGATCTAGTGCGCACTAGATAGTATCTTGTGCTCACTAGATACGGATCTAGTGCGCACTAGATAGTATCTTGTGCTCACTAGATACTATCTAGTGCGCACTAGATACGGCTCTCGTGCGGGCATGATGTCTGAGAGACCATCCACTGCATTTCGGTTTGTGTTTCTGTGTGAAAATGACAGTACAGGAGTTAGTTCAACTATATTTTAACCTGGGACTTCATTATAAGGACATTGCTGCTTTACTTGCAAGTCGTCACCGTCATGTTGTGTCTGAAAGACATTTAAAACGAATTTTGAAGTCTTGTAGTTTGTTTCGGCGCAAGGGGATACGTCACTTTGGATCACGTAGTTAATTTCATTCATGAACAGTTACAAACATCTGGCCAACTCTGTGGGTATAGGTGGATGTACACAAAATGCAAGGAGAATGGATTACACGTCAAGAAAGAAGAGGTACGCTTAATTCTAAAAGAACTTGACCCGAGGGGTGTTGAACTCAGAGCAAGGAGACGGCTCCATCGCCGAAGCTATTTTGCAAAAGGGCCCAATTATATTTGGCACTTTGACTCTTATGACAAACTGAAGCCATTTGGTATCTGTATCAATGGCTGCATTGACGGGTTTTCCCGGAAAGTTATCTGGATGAATGCATTTACTACCAGCAGTGACCCAAAAATCATCGGAGGCTACTACATAGAGGCAGTCCAGAGATTGGGTGGTTGTCCAAGGATTGTCAGAGGCGACCGGGGCACAGAGAATGTTAAAGTCAGAGACTTTCAGCGTTTTCTTCGTCGCAACATTCACGACGGCTCCGGCATTGACAGCTACATTGAAGGGGCAAGCACAGCAAATCAGCGAATAGAGAGTTGGTGGGGCTTCCTCAGAAGGGAATCAATGGAATTCTACATCTCTCTGTTTAATGATCTGAAGGACCGTGGCTTGTTCGATGGTGCATATTTGGACAGAAGTCTAATCCAGTTCTGCTTCATGGGAATCATTCAGGTACAAATGTATCATATTGTTATGTAAAACCTAATTTCATCTTAAATTGTGTCCCACAAATGTTTTTTTGTTGTTGTTACATTCTCCAATGAGCAGCTGTCCACCTGTCTTAATCACTGTCATCCATGTGGTGTCCTACAATAATAATTCATAATGAAACGCGAAAATGGCTCTAACAGGGTTTTTTGAGCATGGAGGCGCCACGCACCGGTCTGCCATATCGTCACATTGTGTGTGCCCTCTCAGTGTCAATCATACTACTGATAGATGAGAGAAGGGGCTGATTAATTAGAATATAACATAACTTGTTGTGGGTGGAAACCACCAAAATGGTAGAAAAAGTTGCCTAAAACTAATTTTGTTGCCCAAACTTTATACTTTATTTAATGAGAATAAACACAGTAAAAGCAACTCAGGAAAACGGGCAGCGAGCCAAGCAAACAGCCAACCATTCAATCAATCTGTTAATCATTTAATTGTTTACAGTTAACTGATCGTTAAGGAAATAATCTAATAAAGATAATAAAAATACAGAAAACAGGCCTGACACCGCCACATTATACTATATATTCAATAATCCATCTATTCTGGGGGGTGGGAATGACTGTGTGTGTGATTTGATGTGTGCACAGATTCGGGAGGTGCCGGTTGATAATGGTTTAGCACTGTAAAAGCTGCCTGAATATGTGTTCAGACATCCAGAGTGGCAGCAGAGGAGCACATATCCCATAACATACACATAATCAGGCCTAATATGATATCAGCTTGACTAGTGTGTGTGTGTGTGTGTGTGTGTGTGTGTGTGTCTGTGTGTGTGTGAGAGAGAGAGCTATATGTCGACTATAAGCCTCCTTGTGTGTGTTTATGTGGTCTGTGTTGCAATGTTGCTGTCCACGGTGCTGAATCGTCCTGAGCGCAGACACGCCACGGCTTCTTCATTATGATTTATTTTAGCTTACTCTGAACTGCCATTTTAATCGAAGATAAACTTCCAAAGAATACTCAAAATATTTCTCTTTATTCAATTAATCCAAAAGCATTCTTATTCTTTCTGATAGCTTTTCATTCCCTTCAGGCGTCTTCACGGCTCTCAATTTAATATTGATATATGCGATCATGCAAAACACAAAATAAGTACCATGGATAGCGCCACTCAGCCAGCCGTGCCAAAACACTTATAACTTTAGTATTTAATAAAATAATAAATAATAATGGAAAATAATATATAGTGAGCGAACTCTATCAGACGGAGCACGAAATAACAGCAACGGCTGCGAATCCATCTCTCTGCTCTTCGAAATTTTTGTTCTATCTATCTTTGAAATTTTTGTTTATTTTCCTATCATTTCTCCTTACTTCATCAGAAAAGTCAGCATTTAGCATGATTTATTTCAAAACTTTTATAAGGCCCACATGAGAATTACAAATTGCATATCAATTAACTTGTTTTCTTACTTTCTAATATACCGTTATTCCAGGACGAATTAGATGAGACCATCCATGTGTGGGATTCACATGTCATCAGACCATCGAAGAATGACAGGGTACCCAGTGGTCGACCTCGAATCATGTACATGTTCCCAGAACTCTACACAAGTGATGACCGCATTTCCCCAGTGGACAGAGCTGATGTGCAGTTGTGTCAGAGTAACTGCACATTTCGACCAGCAGTGCCATGTGACCCAGACATCTACAACATCTGCAACATTCTGATGGTGGAGTCACAGCTGCATCTTCCAGCTGATGCTTATCAAGCATTTGATTTGTACCTGCATTTGAGGAATGAGATAAGATCCGCTCTCTAATTTGAGATGGAACTACATTTGTATCCATCTAAACTGAACACGTGATCAGACAATTCTTCTGCAGTCCACCATGCTTTATTCACCAAACATTCTCAGTTGTAAAGTTTTCCCAGGAACTCTGTAGAAGCTATATTTGGAATTTTGGATTATTTCTCCTTGGAAAAAGGATTGATCTGTCACTATGTGCACACTGACTGTTACAGACATTAAGAACATTTGCAGCGATATTGTGCACACAGTTTTTCAAGGTACTTTGCAGTTTTGCCTGTCATGGATAACTTTTTAGCAGTTCTTGTGTGGATTTAGGCTGTCTCAGTTGTTTCTGTCTCTTGAAGCCTGTGTTTCTTTGAATCAGTCTGGGATTACCTCGGATTTTTCAAATGACAGAGTATTAGCTCTTCTCAGTAATTTGTGCTGGAATTTGAGATTTAAATTTGTTGTACAGCATATAGCAGTATTGTCATAGATGTTTTACTTTGCCTTTACATCAGTCATGAACAGGAAACGAACAAAATCACAACAAAGAAAAACAACATGGCAGGACATGAAAGAGGAATTACATTTTTACAACAATATTGTGCTCTTGACAGTTACTGTCTGTATGTTTACCATATGAGGCTCCAACAAAAACAGCCATGGGTAGCCATTTGAAATGGTACTGTATGTACATCAAACAGGTATTATTTTGTTGAATGCTGAACTTCTTTCTTAATAACAATTGCAGAAAACATGCTCATGATAATATGAAAATGAAAAGGGATGTTCACCTATGAGAGCAGACCTTTCTGACTTATCAAAATGATCAAACTTAAACTGTCTTCTGGACTTAAACAAAATGTAAAACTCAGTGTGCTGACAAATATTACAACAAAATCATTAACAATAAGAAAAAAACAAAACCAAAGCAAAAAAATTAAAAAACTGTTTCAGTTTTAATACAGGTTCAATAAAGCAATGTCATCAGATTATGCATCTGATTTTATCTCCTCTCGTTGTAGAACATTTTTTTCTTAGTTGTAATACATGAATGAACAAATACAGTTTTTTAAATGTAAATCTGTAGATTTGTTTCAGACAAATGCTATAACAATGTCAGTAGAAGAGGAACATTCACTACACAATATCCATTGTAAAGCAATCGCCAGACAGGACATTGTCAAACTCTTGACGAAACTCAGGGTATGAGCTGTAGGTGCATGGTAACTCAAGAACTGCTCCACATGTGTGTGCTACAGGCCTGCGACTTAAACCACACAATCTATTAAAAGTTACTTCGATTGTGTCTGTGCACAGCACAGTGGACCCTGCAGAAGCGTAAGAAGATCTCCAGTTTTCTTTGGTCGATGCTTCTCACATACCGTAGCAGGTGGTTAAGAGCTGTCTGCTCTTGTGGATTTAGGCTTTCAGTTGATGGCTTTATCATCTGGGCCACTTTCTTGTTAGTTGGCCGCTTAGATTCGTAAAGCTCCATTATGCTTTCTTTGGTTATGAGTGTTGGCACAGCATTGTGAATACTGGAGTGGAAACAGTCAATTATGAACTTTGGCTCTTGAAGAAGAGCTTTGTGTGCCATTGTTAAAATGGCAGCCCGTACGTTGTCTTTAGAGGGCAGGCAGTGTGAGCCCATTCTTGAGAAGACGTCGAGTAAGTCCTCTTCAACAGTTTCATCAATGTTGCCCTGTAGTGCTTTTTCAAGTGATGCACGCTCATTCTCTGAAAGAAATCTGGAAAATGACATCATCAAGAGTTCTTCATCCACTGAACCAAGTCCTTGACAACAGGCAAGAACAAAAGCTGGTGACAGTCTGATTGGTATGATTTTGTGGTCCAGGTATCCTTTCAACCACACTCTTCCAAGAGCTTGCCATGCCTTCTCAGAATAGTCTGGTCGTAGTCTGGGTACTCGTTCATCTTCCCCTCACACTGTTCCAAGAAATGTTCCCAGAACGCAGAGTATACCTCTCTTGACACACCATCACTGTCCACAGCTTTCTCATTTGTAAACTCCATTTTTAGATTAGCATTCAGTATTTTTGGTTCCATGAAGATATTAAGGACATCATCAACTATGTTTACTCGTCTTAATTTCACAAGGAGTTCTTTTTCAAATGGGTCTGGTGATGCTGGAAGACTGCTTGATGATACAGGTCCATCATTCAGTGTAGAGTGCTGCAAGATTTTTAAAAAAAGTAATTAGGTGTGATTATTGATCGATTAATCAATTGGTGAACAGAAAATGAATCAACGACTTTGACAATCAATATATCAATTAGCATGCAGAAATGAATTATGCTGTGGTTCTAGATTTGCTGCTTTTCTGTCTTATATCACAATACATGGAATATCTTTTGGTTTTGGAATGTTTGGATGAAAAAGTAATCTAAAAACATCAGCTTGGTGTGAGAGAACTTGGGATGAAAATTTGTCACTGTTTTGTACATTTCATAGACAGAATAATGAATAGGGAAAACTCTTTAAAAGAATCAATAATGGCAGTAATATTCTTTTTGCAGCACTGCTAGAAAATGACTCAGTTCTACACTATACCTGCATACTGGTGGAGTCTTGATTATCACCATCATCACCACAAACAGGTCCAAAGTTTACTTCAAAGTCCTCAAGAGATGCTTGGATGGCAAGGGCAAGAGGGGAATCCAACTCGTCATTTAACAACTGGTCTGGATCTTGATTTGACACAGGCATTAAACACTCGTCTTCAGATCCATGCCTGCTTGTTGATTGCCGAGTTTGATTGCCAACATCATCGGAAGATGGTGGATGCAGGACCTCTGTGTTGCTCATCTCAGGAGTTGATGGTCTTGATTGACTGATTGGTTCTCCTCTCTGTTGATAATTAAATGAAAAAACAAAACAAACATATAATTATTACCTTATCTTTGTTTTTGCATCATCTGATCAAAGCTGTCATGTGTACTATCACATTCATGTGATTAAAACATCTTGCACCTGAGCAGATTGTTTTGGTATATGCATATTGAGTTAATGTGGCATTGAACTCAAAACCTTTGCCCACTTCCATCATCTTAGCTGCAGTTAAAATTTGAGATGGATTTACATTTGTTGTTTGCAACAAAATCATGGTCTCTTAAATCCCATCTCTGTGTCCTCACAGACTTCACGAGTTCGCAAGTTTTGGATTTTATCTTTGACTTTATTTTTGGTTTCAATTTTGTATTTGATATTTTGATTGATACATTTTTGTTTCCATTTTAAAAAGTATTGTTTGAACACTTTGGTACAAATTAATCTCCATACAACACAAGTTCCATACTGTATATCACAAACTGGGTCCATAAAAAAATATGCAATACCGGGGCTTACTTTTTCATGGTTTTCCTGCATTCAGCCACTGGGTGCTGGATCTAAATCAGTGGAGCTCTCTGGATGATCCCCTCGATGATCAGTTCCAGTCCTCCAGTGATGACATCTCCTGGTTTTGTTCCTCAAGGATTGTCTCTGCATTGTCCTAGTCTATAAAGAAATCAGCAGATCAGCAAATTATAGGCTTATACAGCCATGATTGTCCAACTGTTCAATACAAGTCTTTCTGAACTTATTGTGATTGAACATGCACATAAGTGGAGAGAGAAGTAGAGCAAATATGTTTAGAAAACTGTATTTACATCTCTTGACCTCTTGCAACTCAACTATCACCCCTGATTCAGCAGATAAACATTTTTTTGTTTGCAGGCTTCATGATCCTAATAGATTTGACATTGAGTTAAGACAATAGATTTATCCTCAAAAATCACTGATTCTAGTTGTTGAATTTCATGAGAAGAAAGACAGATAAACTACATGGCTGTAAGACTAAGATTATTTTGGCCAGATCCACAAAAAATTAATTGCGCCTGCTAATTGCACCAGAATTGTGCAGCATTTGCACCCCAATCTGCCCCGTTTAATGCCGTTTAATTGAATATGCCATATTTAAGAACACAGATTGGTCTATAATGAACATTGCAAAGAGCACAAATGCCCTACATTGCATGTCTTTAATTAGCAGAAGTGTGCACAAATAAAAGCTCTCCACAATCACAAACCAACTTCCATGTATTTGTACTATTATAGTATTTTACATCTATAACATAATCTACTGAGATTTTCCTTCATAGTACAGCTATTAATGTGACTCAGGCAAGTTTGATAAATGTTAGATTAATGTCTAAATCATACAATATTGTTGTTCAGGTGTCACTGAATGTATGGATTTCACAAAAACATCAGTACTGATATTCTATTTGTTGCCCACAGCTGGCTGCAGCATCACAAGGCAGCTGAAACTATACGTGGCGTCTCCAAACTAACAAAGAGGCTGATGTGTGCGTTTACGCACGGTGCTGAGGTAGCTTCATTAACATGATTGGCCAGGATTTGATGATAGTTAATGTTCTGTGTTTTACTATACATCTCTACCGGTCAGCTGTTACACACTGTTTCCAGGTTTATACAGACTTTATGGATAAATTCTGAGCCTCATCCCATCTGTTATTTTTATTTTAAAATCTGAAATATATGATTGTCCCCGATCAATATTCAGTACCTAGAGTATGTATTGATAACAGAAATGTGGCAGAAGATAAATTACCTTCATTGGCCTCTCATCTGTGGGCTCGAAGTCCGATGATGCATCAGAGAGAAGTATTACGTCTTTAGCCTTGGAGGTTGTGTAGATGCGCAGCATTCGTATCTTAGTCTGCTCGTACAGCTGGCTCACTGTGACTTCAGGGGATACTGCATTGTGACTAAAATCACGAATATCAAACTCGAAGTCTTCCACTGGTCCTTTAGATGAATATCCATTTGGAAAAAACAAGCCCTTGCCCGTCTCCAGCAGTTCACCCATAGTTATTGATTTCTCCACTGACAGGTGCCGTGTTCCACCTCCATTTCTTGTTTTGATCTGGTGATAAGTGCCGTTATCAAAGTGGAGCCATCCCATTTCAATCCGCCGGGTAGCTTTGGCTGCATGTTTATTGCCAACAATGTTGCCAACTGTTTGTCTGTCGGCAGGAGTTTTCCGTTGTTCCCCGAGCCTGTCTCTTACTCTCTGCATGAAAGCGGACTTCACTGTCTCCACTCCTCCCTGACTTTTCATTTGTTACAGTTCTTTGACGACAAAATGCTCTGAGTGCAAGTCGGTCCCCATATCTTACGATATACTGTCCTAACTCCTCATCTGTCATAACACCTATGACGTTGATGTCGATCTGTAATAAGCAAGGCAAACGTCAAAAACGTTGGAAAAATTACATTAACATAGCAGGTAGAGAAAGCTAGCAACATTAGGCTACACATGTATTGCTTACTTTATGTCACAAAAGTTAACATTTATCTTTACCTTATCATCTTTTAGTTGGTTGATGACACTATCAGGTATATTTCGCGTTTTCAGGAAAGAGAATAAGTCCACTTCTGCAGCCATTCTTTGAGGTTAAGATCTTAATGAGCCTAAAGGCATATGCACAGGAAGCACAACTGCCTGTGCTTAATCTAAGGTTTCTCGCGAGATCCGTGGTTTCTCGCGAGATCCGTATCTAGTGAGCACAAGATCCGTATCTAGTGCTCACTAGATACTATCTAGTGAGCACAAGATACTATCTAGTGCGCACTAGATACTATCTAGTGAGCACAAGATACTATCTAGTGCGCACTAGATAGTATCTAGTGAGCACAAGATACTATCTAGTGCGCACTAGATACTATCTAGTGAGCACAAGATACTATCTAGTGCGCATCTAGATACTATCTAGTGAGCACAAGATACTATCTAGTGCGCACTAGAAACGTTTCATTTTTTTTTTTTTTCATGTCCCTTTAGGGGCTCCGTACTCTGCTTGCTCGTTGTTGCGAAGAATTTTCATATCTCGCCAGAATAATGTGAAACTGAAATGTTTTGGTTGCTATGGACGCTGCTATCGCTTAGCATAGCTGTGGCCCCAGATTCCACATAGGACTCCCTTGCGATTTCGCTCCGTCTGACGGATCAAACCCTCGCCCACTACATGCGTTGCGTCTGAGGTTGATTTGCTGATCAACACATTATTCCGTGGCAGCAGGAGAAACTAATGTTGACAAAGTGACGAGTTACGATCAGACGTTTGTCCGCTGTGTTTAATTTTGAAATCTACCGGATCCTCTGTGCATTTAACTTCCTGTGTGGTGCGATCTCATTGATGGGTTTTGACGCGTCATGGCCCCACGAAGAAGAAGTAGTCATGATAGTTTCCTTGTTGGAATCATTGTTAGCTGTTTGAATATTTTCACTTTGTAAGAATATGGACTGGCGTGTTATTTGTGGTATTACTCCTCGCTCAAGATATTTCAATACATAGCCAGGCAGTGTTCCACTGATGACGTTTCTTATGACATACACAGTGCTGCCACCACGTGTCTGGTCTTAGTAATAACTTATTTCTGGTAAATTATCAAGTTTTTGTCTGCTTGGGGGTTAATTAATTGTATGTATATTATTGGAAGTATGCAGTATCTATCTATCTATATATGTGTGTGAAAGAGAGAGATGATCTGTCAAGCTTTTGCAAACACAGCATGTGTTCTCTGGTTTGCTACAAAGTGGGAGTCTTTCAGGCTTTTGAATTTTTATTAATATACTGTATGTACTGTATAACAACATACACACATACACATTCCTGTGGAAACTTAAAAATGATCTTATAGCTTATGGAACTGACAGCTTATGAAACAAAACAATGGCATTGAACATTTCTTAATTCACATTTTCTTAATTTGTGGTGTTCTCCTTTGTCACCCACTGTGGCGGCCAAGTTTTCCCACTGTAATAAAAAGAGATTGTTATTCATTTAGGTCTTTACATCAGCTATGAATTAAATTCAAAACATGACAAGGTTAAGGGCAATGAGGAACAGCAAGCCACCCCTTCATTCAGTAGGTTTATAAACTTACAGTAACCTGATAACAGTAAATTACCTGCCTGTGGTAATATTTTGGTTAAGGTTTATATATCCATTACCTACGGTGTAGCCATTTATTTGAAATCATATACCTCTGCTCTAAAGGTATCCATTGTAAAAGACCTCTGCAATTTGCTCCACAATAATAGTCTTGAAAATTTGGTCATGAAAGACCTCCAAAGCCTTTGGACTTTTGTAAATGCCTTTAACCAATGTGTGTTACTTTAGCATCCCAATGTCAACATCTAATCAAATTTCAATGTAAAGAAAAAGGAAATCCTTGCTCAGAATAAATTGGTGATTATGTCTAACATATGTTTCTCCATTATGGCAGTCAGGTTTATCTGCCTTAAGCACCACATAACTGATAAAATACACAAATACTGTGAAACTCAGTCTCACTTAAGCCCTATTGGCACAGGACTAGT